GTCATTTGGGAAACTTGAAAGATTCAAGATCTCTTTGGGATGCTCATTAAAATATCATCCTCGCCAAAACAAACACTCCTTCGAGAACACATTATGGTTGGTCACCAACAAATGTGAACTTTTAGATTCTAGGGTGAATGATTTGTTTGGAAAAACAAAGGTGCTTCAGTTACAAGTGGATGGTATAAATGATCTTGGAGATTGTTTAGGGGAATCCTTGCATCATTTTGGATGCCCATTTTTCAGTTTAAGAGTCCTTCATATTTGTGAGTGTGCACATTTGAGATACCTCTTCACAGTCCATGTGGCAAATGGTCTCAAGCAGCTTGAGCACCTCAAAATTAGCAATCGCCCTGCTTTAGAAACACTTATAGATGATGAGAATTGTGAAGTTGAGGTCATTAAATTTCCAGCTCTAAAGTTTCTATTTTTGATTAATCTACCAATGCTAATGAGTTTGTGCAAGCTGGGTGGCAACGTAATTGAGTTCCCACAACTGGAACGATTGGTACTTGATAACCTTCCAAATTTCACTAGCATTTATCAAGATTTTCTACAGAAAGAGGTACATATGTTTTAGTTAACGTAAAAGTTATAGTAATAAACTTCAATTTTCTAGTAGATATGAGTTGTTAATAAAAGTCACAAAATTACTTGATTGAATGTAGTTATTTGATTATGATGCAGGTTATGAGTTCTAAGTTGAAGGATTTGACGATTACGGAGATGGAGAAGGTGAAGGAGATATGGCCAAGTGAATGTTTGAGTAGTAATGAGGTTAGTCAATTGAGAATGATTCAAGTGAAAAGATGTGATAGTCTTGTGAACTTGTTTCCAAGCAATCCAATGTCCTTGTTGTATCATCTGGAACAACTTACAGTTTCCGAATGTGGTTCCATTGATGTGTTATTCAACATTGATTTGGAATCATGTGTTGGTGAAATTGAGCAAGGGAACAACAACTTGAGATCTATTATAGCAATTGGATTAAGGAAACTTAGAGAGGTTTGGAGGGTGAAAGGAGTAGTAAACTCTAGTCTCCCCATTCTTGGCTTTCAAAGTGTAGAATGCATAGAGATAAGAAGATGCAAGAGGTTAAGACATGTATTCACACCTACTACGTCAAACTTTGACATGAGGGCACTTAAGAAGATTACTATAGATGACATTGATGGGTGGGGAGAAAATAAAAGCAACAATGAAGAGGTATGTTGTGTCATCCTAACTTTCAGTTTCATTATAAAATTGTTGATGCAATTTAGTTTTTGTTAAACGAATTTGCTAATTACATATGTTGGGGAATTAATATATGCAGATTAATGTTACAACCAATCAAGAGATATCAGAAGTGGATGATGATATTCATAATGTTGCATTCCCATCTTATCTCATGCATAATTTGCATCAACTTCATAAGCTTAAGTTAGTTTCTTTTGAAGGGGTGGAGGTGGTGTTTAACATAGAGAGTTCAAGTTGTAGAAAGTTGGCAACAACTCAAAATAATCACCACCCGGAACTACTCCCGCACCTCAAGGATCTGGAATTAATTGGTCTGAAGAGGATGACTCATGTGTGGAAGTACGATTGGAACCAATTCTTACTTTCTCAACAAGAACCGAAACCTTCTTCATTCATAAATATCACGAGCATAACCCTTAGATTCTGTGACCGTATAAAGTACTTATTCTCTCCTCTCATGGCCAAACATCTATCCAACTTAATTAGCATCACAATACGGTCGTGTGATGCTATGGAAGAGGTTGTTTCTAACATAGATGATGAATATGAAGAAATGGCTACGTCTATATCTTGCCACAAAAATACCACTTTCTTCCCACATTTAGACAATCTCAACCTTTATTATTTACCATGTCTAAAGCGTATCAATGGTGTTGGTAACAGCTGCGGGAGCAAGAAACTCGTGACTTCCACTGTTATTGCTTCTTCTGTTTATGATAAATTCCAGGTATAGTTTCGTTTTTTATCACTATCATGTGAAAATTTAACTATTTACTTCAAATTTTGTATTTATCTGTAAATGTGCTATCRATTGTATATTTTATGATCTTCTTTAATATTCGCTTGTGGCATACCATATCTCAATTGATTGACTTAATTTCTTTTGTCATGTATCGTAGTGTTATCAAGTTGGTGGAGCATATTGGTCCTTTTGCCAATACGCAAAAATAATAAATATACAGAAATGCAATGCCTTGTTAACTCTGATTCCATCCCATGCGATTGGACATATGCCAAAGCTTGAAAAGCTGGTGATAATATCGTGCACATCAATGAGGGAGATATTTGAAACTGATGGGGACAATGAGGACGTTGGTGACAATGCTAATATTGGTGAAGGAAGTGGTTATACGGGTACAATCCCAACGCCGATAAATATGACTTCACTTGAATTGCCCAATCTAAAAACCTTGTATATTGCCGGATGCCACAATTTGAAATATATATTCGCAGCTTCTGTACTTGAGAGCCTTAAGAAACTCCAGGAGTTGAAGATAAGTAATTGCTCTGCAATACAAGTGATTGTGAAGCAGGAAGACAATGGAGAACACATAATAGGATTGGAAGATGTGGTCTTCCCTCGTCTTACGACCCTTAAACTAGTTGGTTTACCAAATCTCAAGGGGTTCTTCTTGGGGAAGAATGACTTCCAGTGGCCATCATTGGATAAGGTTGAGATCTACCGTTGTCCGCAAATGATGATTTTCACATCTGGTCGCTCGATGGCTTCGAAACTGAAATACATACATATAGATGTAGGCAAACATAGTCTCCTCAACTTTGGACCAGTGCACCACATGAGGTAACATATGTTGTTAACTGGTTCATTGAATAGCTGCTATTTAGTGTAATTAGTCATTGTATTTACTAATTAGTTCAACAACAACATATGTTCAGCCAAGCAAGCAGGCATGTGGGAAAGGTCAAGGTAGCAGAGAAGATATAAGATGAAGACAAATTAAAGTAACATCAAGGTGTATTACTATACTACCTGTCGGGTATATATATATATATATATATA